AACACTTACAAACCCATTGATGGTTTTGGATATGACCCTTTAAGCTATGCTCAGAACTTCGATGAGGGTTGGGTGAACAACGCCGAAGAATTTTCACGCCGTGGATTCTCTGCTAGATATGCAGCCCCTTCATCTTCAAATTCAATTAAATCGCTCAAGTAGCAATAAGGTTGAAGCTTTGAAGGTAAGCTAATATATATATATATATATATATATATATATATCTGTATACAAATTATTAATGGTTCATGCAGCGAATACGGAGTACAGAGAACACTGATCTGCTCCAGTGTATAAGCAATTTGTACCCAAAACAAAGAGAGATTGGTTATTCATTGGAATAACTGGAAACTTTTTGTTGTGAACTTAATATTCGTTTAGTATTTGCAATGGTTACTTAGTATTTAATGAAGCACTTAATTCTCAAGTTTAATGCTCTGTGACAGTTGGCATTTTCCTATTTCCAAGTTTTCTTAGACTGTTTGGAAAATAAAAAATTACTTGTAGAAAAGTACAACAATGTAACGTACTGATTTTCATCATTGAACGTTTGTGATACAGCATAACGAAGCAACTCCAGTATTGATGTTGCTTTTTTTTTTTTTTTTTGGATACAGTATTGATGTTGCTTGAATCAATTTCTTTAATTTTCTACTTGGTTATGCATAGAATAATGGGGAGTGGTGAGCAAAATGAGTTTACATTGAAACGTGTATAGTTTGTTTAAGATTTTAATTAATCCTAGAAATTAATTTTGTGATGAGTATAATCAATTTCTTAAACAAGTTACACACGTTTATGTGTAAACTCGAGTCTGAAATTTATAAAATTAAGAAAGAACCGTGGGTCGTAAATGGTAAGGGTATTCTTTACGACAAAGTCAAGGTTTAGAGTTTAAGAAGCACCGTTTTGCAAAATACAAGAATAAAGTTGACTACAAACTCACCCTTACCCTCATAAAGTTAGGGGATTTGCCCCAAAGATTAACAAATTACAATAAAACATATTTGCATTTACATTTAAAAGTAATTTTATTTATGTACCAAAAAAAAGCAATTTTATTTTCAAATACTAATTTTTTTAGGGATATGATCAATTTAAATCGGTGTAAGAATAAAAAGTTTTATTTCAAATCTTAACCGTTGATTTATATAAATATGACAATTATGATTTATCAGGCTATATTAATTAATTATTAATTTTCAATAAATCATAAACGTTAGATACACGCAAATCAACGATTAAGATTTGATATAAGACTTATTACTTTTATACTAATATAAATTGATCTTGTCCCTATTTTTTAACAGTAGTAATTTCAAAATTGTTTTTTATTAATTATTTCTACAAAAATCTAAAATAAATGAACCCAAGGGTTAGCTAACTATGGTTTCTTCACTACATCGAAAATTGTGAATATATCACGTTCATTAAACTCTCATTTGAGTTTCCAAAATGTAAGATAATATTTCTTTTACTTTTACGAACATAATTGTCTCACATTTTCCAAATGATTTCAATCCATTTCAATTTAAAATTTAAATTACATTAATATTAATGTCGTTTTAAGCAATTAGTTTTCAAAAGTGATTCTATTTTAAATTAATCAAACAGTTAATTTGCAGAAGTGTTATTCCACAATAGTCAAAGTGCCCAAACAACCTAATCCAACAAATACGTGCAAAAGTATACTTCCACATTTTCCCTCGCTCGTCATTTTACCATAAAATCTACTGGCAAGTCAAAAACTTAATGGGATTTACACTTCTCCCGTAGTTAATAAGTATATTATTATTTTATTTAACCATAGTTAACTATGATTAAATAAAATAATAATATACTTATTAGTAGTAGGAGAAGAAAATCCGTTCGTGTTTATACTTCGATATTGCTTCTATTCTTAAAAAAAAAACCAATGGTCTGGGCTCCGGGAGCAAAAAAGGAAAGCTCTTGCTGAGGATAGTACACGATTAAGATGATAAAAATAATAATATTAACAAGGGGAATATTAATCTTATGTTACATGAGAGTATTATCTCATGCTATAGAGAGAGTTTAAGTGGGGTCCACCATTAAAAAGTAAAAAAGAAAAAGAAAAAAGAAGGGGTGCGATTTTCGATGTGAGAGAAAATGAGATAACTACCTCATGTAAAATGAGAGTAGTATTTCCCTATTAACAAAGACAGAAAAAAGAGACCATGCAAGATGCCATAACTAGTAAAGATTAAAGAATATACTCAAGTTGACAAAAAGCAATCCAACTTCGGTAGGTTTGTTTGAGTTGAGTTTTTTTTTTTTTTTCTCTCTCTCTATTTTTTGACAAATTCCAAATGTCGTATTTATTTTAAAAATTTATTAACCTAATAACGTCATGGACATTGTATTGGGTAGTTGAAAAATTTAGACGGAGATCAAACAAAAAATTTATTGATTTAAATCATGTGAGATAGTCCTAACCATTAATAAATAAATCAATGGTAATGATTTGATAACTTTTTATCTTAATTTTTTTTTCTCTCATCCGTTATCAGTACTTATTTACTCTTTTATAATTACATTTTTTTTTTCACAATAACATGATCATGTTATATAAGATATGAGAGGATTCACTCAAAAAATATAATTTTTTTTTTTTTCACAAAATTGGTCAAATTTTTCTGGTATAAAATCAGCCACTCTTTTTCTAATTAGTTACTGGTTTAAAGCAGCCGATTTTTATTCGGTTCAATCCAGCTAATTTCTTAAATTTTATCCAGTTCATCAAGTCTTGATCACGTTTAACCCATAAACAATAGAGGACTAATATGCAGCCCGGCCAGAAGCCCAAGTCACAGTTTCGGACTGAACCAGACTATCCAAGATTTACAATTATGCTGGAGAGAATTATTTAGGTAGATCCGGTCCACCGTGGAAACTCCATCTAACAGTTAGATGCGTATAAGAACATTCTCTATTTCTCAACATATAAGAAATTACATTTTCTCACATAGTACTTTTACATGCCGAGTAAAAAAAAATTGTTTCCAGAAATCATAATTTTTGAGAATATGCAGGGAAATTAAATTTTTCGAGAATATTACCAAAAAGTTATTTGGTAGACCAAAAATATTGGCTCAAGTTTCTTAATTCGTTTGATTAGTTGTCAAATATTATTGCAAATGTGAGGTGATTTTACAAAAATTATTTTATCCATCATTTTCATTCAAAACTTGTCCAATTTAAAATTAAAATAAACTTTTGTATTTCTTCAATTCTATGTCCAAGAATACATGTAATCTGAGAAGAAAAAACAAATGGTGAGAAATAGGAAGAACAAGAAATACAACAACAATCCAGATAACTTTGAGGAGATCCTCGACACCGCTAAAGATGAAGGCACCACCCTCCTCCAAATTGAAGAGCTTCACAACTCCATCCTTAGCTAAGAGCACGCAATGCCTCGATCTAACACCCAACTCCACAAACTTATCACTCAAATTGACCTAACGCCTAACCGCAAACATTACAACCTTCTTTCCCTTGCTCAATTCCGACACAGTGGTCATCTATGAAAATTTCTTTTATACATCAGATGTACCCAAGTGGGTACATCTTTTTACTAAACAGAGAAAGTTTTTTCCCATTTAATCCATATCTTTTTAAGTATTTTTCATCAAATTCCAAATAATTTCTTTTTTTGACAGATGTATGGTGCATTGGATGCACAAAAAAGATGTCGTTTGCACCTCACCAACAGCAATGGCGGGCCTAGAAAATTGTATTTATGTCTGCACATTTAGTGACGAGGGTGCTGCCCCCAATTTTTTTTTTAAAAAACTCTCACCATACACAAAATCCATGAAAAGATATATGGTAAATAGCCTTATCTTGCATTTGCAAAAAGTTAAATATAATAATTAAAAATGTGACTTTTGGGTACATGACCACAACACCAACCATTAAGACAAGAGAAAGTATCAATTTAGTAAATCTAAACTAATATAAGCACAGTGACACAAATATAAGCACAACAATATTAATTTCAAGAATGTAGTATAACATATCTATTATTCAAACATACAGGTCATAAATAATTGGGAGACCGAACGCATTTGGTTGCTTATAAGTTGGCAACTCCAGAGGCAAAATAAATCAATTTTTTAATAGAAAAAATAATTACTTTTGCAAGTTAGTGTCTACACTTGCTCACGTGGGCAATAGTGCAGGTCCGCCATTGACCGACGGAGTCCAAGTAGGAGAATGTGGATTTCGAAAGCTTGTCGCCGATTGCAATTAAGGAGAGATGATAGAGGAGGAGGATGAAACTTTTTGTCTGAAGCTCATCTACTCCTCGAGGTATTTTTGTCTCAAAAATAGAAAATATTCTAATGAAAATCTAAAAATACCATCCAACAAGTGGTATTTTAAGTTGACATTTTCTTTCACAAAAATTAATTTGGGAAATCTGATTTTTTTCAGAAATTTTTTTACAATTCTTGTAGCAAATGTGGGTAAATAGAATTTTCAATATCAGTTTTCTAGTAATCTTACCCCCAAGTTATAACAGATGATATAATTTTAGGAATTTCTGCAATGCTCCACTCTGGCAGAGAAGGTAGTTAAAATCGAAATTTTACGTAAAATCAAAAGGGGATAAAAAAGCATAAAACGTAAAATTATAATATAAAAAAATTATAAAAAAGTAAAATTATAATGATAAATCAAGATTTTAACTATCATGATAGTAGTCTACAAAAATTCAAAAAAAAAAAATATTACCAAAGATGTCGTGTGAGGTACCCGTTGGCCGTTTCGATGGTACTTGCGCCAACCAAGGCCCTAGTGGCTAGTGTCCCGCTTTTCGATATGCAGGAGGACCCCACATTTTACAAAAATACAAATCAAAATCATCACCAACATGCTCACCCACTCACCCTCGCTCTCAGTCTCACTCTCACCAACCCTCTACCACCAACACATATATACCCATACGAGTCTTCGAAGTTCGAACCTAACCACCACAACACCATTCCCTGTTGCGAGAGACAAAATAAGCATCGCAATGGCCATGGCTCTTCGCAGACTTTCCTCAACCATCAACAAACCAAGCTCATCTTTCACCAACGCCGCTTCTATTTATCGCATGGTAATATATCATTTCTCAAAACCTGCTCAGTATTTCCTCTTTTCGTTAAATCTATATTCTCTTGCGCTGAGTTTTTTGTTTGCAGTCCTCTTCGCTCTCCGCTCAAGAAAAAGAAAAGTCTCGCGCTGAAGTAAGCCACTCCAGATTCTGCTTCTCTTCATTTTCCAATTGAAATCTGAGTTATTCCGTTAATTGCATCATAGCTTTTATATGTTTTTCGTTAGCATCTATTTTGATGAATTTTCCACCCTCCTAAAAAACGCAGTGGATAAAGCAGCTCAACGATCCTCTCGAGATCGTGGATCCTGAGATCACAGACATAATCGAACTCGAAAAAGCTCGTCAATGGAAGGTCGATGGAAGTTTGGTTCTAAATTGTTATTTTATTTTATTGAAGAATCAAACGAAGACTAACGTGTTCAGTTTTTCCGTATAGTTGGTTTTTATGGACGTTTCTATATGGATGTGTAGGGGCTTGAACTTATTCCTTCAGAAAATTTCACGTCGCTGTCAGTGATGCAAGCCGTTGGATCGGTGATGACAAATAAATATAGTGAAGGGTATCCTGGTGCTAGATACTATGGAGGAAATGAGTATGTGGATCTACTTATGAATGTTTTGTTTCAAATTAAAATTTTTAGAATGGATTGGTATATTGATTTTGTGCATACATCTATATTCCGTTCAGGTACATTGACATGGCTGAGACCTTATGTCAGAAGCGTGCACTAGAAGCTTTTCGGTTGGATCCAGCAAAATGGGGAGGTACGTAAGCGCAAAGACATTTAAGTTGCAATTTGAGTTTTCTTATTCTGGAAAAGAGTGGTCTTCTGTGCGTAAAGGCGTCATGCCAAAGAATTTGAGAAAGTTATAATTTGTATTTGTTCAGTTGTTACTTTTTTGTTGCAAAGTGCAAAGCATTGCCAATATACTATAGGAGATATAATATAAGTGCTTTTATCTTGCTCTGATTATTCATCACGGATTCAAGGTACCTGATTCCGGGCATTTACAAGTATATTTGATTCAGTCACAAAGTGTATTTTTACTGTGTTCAAATGAACATTTCAAGTGATTTTGGTTTCTTTTGTGGTAAAACAGCCCTTTATGATTTTAGTAAAATATCCATTGATGTTTTATTCCTTGTAACAGAATTGATTCATACATATATGTGTGCATCTACACATGTGCGCGTGTTGACTTCATTTCTACCTTGTTGATTTCTGGTTTTAAATTCTCAATGTTGTTTATTGGTAAAATTAAAAAAATACGATCCCACATTTATTGGGTTCTGTGCTTTAGTTTCTGGTCAACAGGAAGTAATTATCCTGCTACTAATAGCATAAGCTACAAACCGAATTTGGTTGCTGAATGCATGTATGATAAAGGGAAGCCAGTTGCAAAACGCTCCTGCTATGCGCTAGGTGGAGTGGAGGGTTAGATCCATGGCGTGGGTCTATATAGGTAGCCTTAGTGTGCATTTGCGTGAGGCTGATTACATGAATCAAACCTATGATAGAATAAAAATATAGTACGCCTTACTGTGCATTTTCTCTATTATTTTACTCCGCAAGTTGGTTGAACAAAATTTTGATCATATGCTTTCTTTGGAGGGTCTTACATACTCTACTTTTGACAGTCAACGTGCAGTCATTATCTGGATCCCCTTCTAACTTCCAAGTTTACACTGCTTTATTGAAACCTCATGAGAGAATTATGGCACTCGATCTTCCCCATGGTGGGCATCTATCACATGGCTATCAGGTTAAGTTCTGCTTCAGATTATCAGTTGTGATCATTATTGCACTTGCTGCTATGAGTTGAAAATTATAGCAAGTCTGCAGTAAGACATGATGAATGAATGTTGTAGCAATAGCTCGTATGATGTTTTGTTTGGCCTAATAGGTGTTCAAGTGATCAATATATGGCTTTTGTTTTTGTTTTCTTTTTTTTGGATAGGAGAAGAATTTATTTGGAAAGAAAAAATTTAAATCAGGAATGCTTCTATTGTTACAAGAAACTATTTATTAAAGAAAGAAAAGAAAAGAAAAAAGATCAAAAGAGCCACCTGATCCCTTCGCATGTCACACCTCAGAACACCCTTAAGAAACCCATGAACATAAACTCACAAGGAAGCCAAGAAAAACATGCCTTTCCCATAAAAGGTGAGGGGCGAAGAAATTTATGGATGGAAATTTTGAAATCATAATCCAGCCACATAGACTTTGTGATTGAAATTATTTCTCACTAAACTTCTCTTAGTTAGATTAATACAAAGACCAGAAGCAATCTAAGAGAATTTCATTAGAGCCAAAACATTTCTAAAAATATCTGCATCTTATGAAATTGAAAGAACAGTATTATCTGTAAACTGCAAATGAGATACCTCCTTGCTCTTCAATCTCACCAAAAGTCCCCTAATCTAACCTTGCTCACAATCTTCCATTAGCATTTCCCTCTACTATCTCTTTTAGTGATTGAATGCCTGTATTAAATTTGGGCTGTATAAATAATTTTATAGCCTTAGTTGGATTAGACACAGGCAGAAATTTATTGTCTGGTTCAACTTCAAAGTGTTCCTTCATTATTTTGTGGCTCTATATTCACATTTTATTTTTCTGTTGAATCATTGATTTATAAATTTTGTATTCCCTAGTTATTGCTGAAAGCTGACCTGTGTCAGTTTAGGATTGTCTGGAGGAAGTAGCAACTGTTATATGCTACATGATGTCATTCTTGAAACTTTTATGCAACACATGTATTTGTTTTAGCTTGGGATGATTCTGATGTTCGCTTATTGAAATTATGATAGCAATGTGACATGTTCTTTGTGTATAAGTTTTCAATTATATGTTTGTGTCATGCAGACTGACACCAAGAAGATATCAGCTGTATCTATATTCTTTGAAACAATGCCGTACAGATTGAATGAGAGCACTGGTTATATTGATTATGACCAGGTAGGCAGGTACCATTGTATTTCTATGTTGTGGATATTTCCTTTCAATCAAAGAGAATCTTCTAAGCAGTCAGCACTGTTTCTATTTCAGTTGCTGTCACTGTTATCTTTGCCAACGAGTTAAAGTATTTTCACATTTGATGTTTAATTATAGAATGTTTCTGCAGAAATTATGGTATAATTAGCCTATAAAATATTTTAGCGATTATGAATCTTAGACGTATGGATGTTGATTGGTCCCCTCCCATAACTAGGGTATGCAGTGGGGGAAAAAGGAATAGTGGCAGAGGATTGGGGGACCCGTGTGGGTATAAGGGAAAGGTGTGCAATTGGCATGTTTTGGGTTTGTTTTGTAACAGCCTGCTTATATGGCAGGTGGGAACAGGCAGAATCGGGTAGTGGGAATGGATTAAGAAGAGAGAGTGGTATCAAGAACTTGAGTAACGGTTTTGGGGCTCTTTGGGCAGGGAGGTGGGCAGATCCTCAAAAGTTCTGCAGGTGTTTCTATCTTATTTTTTCGTTTTTTCAGTGTAATCAAAAGGGGTTTTACCTATTGTAAGAGGGGGACTCCATTTTTCTTTCTCATTAATACACGTTCCTATCAGATATCCAATTTTAGTCATTTGACTAATTGCTTTTGATGAGTTTTCTGTGTTAAATGTTAATCGTTATTTCATTAGATGAAAAAAAATATCCAATGTGTTGTGCACATCATTTATTATTTTATGTTCTAATGCCAGTACATATTTGTTCAGATTTTTCAAAATTTAATAATTTCGGGCCCAGGTTCAAAGTATTTTATCCTCTTATTAGCTGATTGCCACAGAATTCATCATTCTAATATCTATTCTTGATTATAACATGAAGTTTTCCTTGTAAATGAAAAAATAAAATAAAACCTGAACATGGTCAGGGGTTAGATTTACAAAGGTTATGCTGTTTCATGCATACTGAGGGCTTGGACTTGTCTATAATGGCTTGACTTATTTAATATCTACAGTTGGAGAAAAGTGCTACACTTTTTAGGCCAAAGTTAATAGTTGCTGGTGCTAGTGCTTATGCTCGCCTTTATGATTATGCACGTATTCGCAAGGTAAACTATATATGATTACTGAGACGTAGAAATTGGATGTTTAGAACAATTCAGTGACGATGATATTGTATCTTTTATGCTTGAATTCTTATAGGTATGTGATAAGCAGAAAGCAGTTCTGTTGGCTGATATGGCACACATCAGTGGATTGGTTGCTGCAGGTGTTATTCCTTCTCCTTTTGATTATGCAGATGTTGTAACAACCACAACACATAAGTCACTTCGTGGACCACGTGGGGCTATGATCTTCTTCAGGAAGGGTGTGAAAGAGATAAATAAACAAGGGAAGGAAGTGAGTTTTAAATTCTAAATTTAATGCTATAAGGAAAAAAAGGAGTTAATAAATAGGGTAGAATACATTCCTCCAGTGAAGTATAGCTTTTTCTCAACTTACTTCCTTGAAGTATTTTTGTTATTACTTAACCCTCATGTAATTTATTCTTAGTACTTATTTGGATTCTCTTTTTTTGTAGCTTCTCTTCTCCTTATAAGCAGAAGATAGGCAAAATAGGTTTTTACAAAAATCTTATAATAAAAAAAGCTTTTTTTATAATACTTAAATATAAAATAATATGTTGTGTATTGATCTGTGTCAGAGAGTTACAATATATAGAGACTCTAATGGGCTTAAGTGAAAGGCCCAAACCTAATCCTAATACAGTCAGAATACAGTCAGAATATTTACGGATAAGACGGAATCCAATCATATCTAATCATATCATATCTAATATTCTAACACTCCCCCTCAAGCTGGTGCGTATATATCATGAGCACCAAGCTTGTTACAAATGTATTCAACCCGAGGACCTCTAAGAGCTTTAGTGAAAACATCCGCTAGTTGATCAGAGGAGTTGACGAAAGCAGTCTTGATTTCTCCTGACTGAATCTTTTCTCGAATGAAGTGACAATCAATCTCTATATGTTTGGTACTCTCATGAAAGACAGGATTAGAGGATATATGTAGCGCAGCTTGATTATCACAGATGAGTGTCATGGGTTGTTTCTGTTCACAAAGATGAAGCTCCTGAATCAACTGCTTTAACCAGACTAACTCACAGGTAGCATTTGCCATTGCACGATACTCAGCTTCTGCACTAGATCGAGCAACAACAGGTTGTTTCTTGCTCTTCCACGAAATTAAGTTTCCTCCAAAGAAGACACAATAGCCAGAAGTAGAGTGCCTGTCCGAGGGTGATCCTGCCCAATCAGCATCTGAATAACCACAAATTTCTGTATTTCCCTGATCTGAATACAACAAACCTTTTCCCGGTGCTCCTTTGATGTATCGGAGGATCCTCACAGCAGCATCCCAATGTGAATCACAAGGGGAATCAAGAAACTGACTAGCCGTACTAACAGCGAAAGAAATATCTGGCCTAGTCACAGTAAGATAGTTGAGCTTCCCAATTAGCCTCCGATAACGTCCAGGATCAGATAACGGCTCCCCCTGTCCGGGCAATAACTTGACATTAGGATCCATAGGTGTATCAACTGGTTTACTCACCAACATACCAGTTTCTTCTAGGATATCCAAGGCATATTTCCTTTGACAGATAGAAATGTCCTGTCTGGATTGCGCCACCTCAATTCCCAAGAAGTAACGCAGCTTCCCAAGGTCCTTTGTTTGAAATGTACTAAACAAATGCTGTTTTAACTGACGAATTCCGTCTTGATCACTTCCGGTGAGAATGATGTCGTCAACATAGACTAACAAATAGATACACTTATCAGGAGATGTAATCCTATAAAACACAGAATGGTCAACTTTACTGCGGATTAAGCCAAACGCCTGAACAGCAAAACTGAAGCGACTGAACCATGCTCGAGGAGACTGCTTGAGACCATATAAGGATTTCCGAAGACGACACACCTTTCCAGACTCCCCCTGAGCAACAAAACCAGGTGGTTGCTCCATGTAAACTTCTTCTTGTAAATCACCATGAAGAAAGGCATTTTTGATGTCAAGTTGAAGGAGTGGCCAGTGACGAACAGCAGCAAGAGCAAGAAAGAGGCGGACTGACGCCATCTTAGCGACCGGAGAAAATGTATCGCTATAATCAAAGCCAAAGATTTGAGTAAAACCCTTGGCAACTAAACGTGCCTTGAGACGATCAATATGGCCATCAGGTCCAACTTTCACAGTAAAAACCCAGCGACAACCAACTATAGACTTCTCTGGAGGAGCAGAAACAAGGTCCCAAGTGCCATTGGAATGAAGTGCAGTCATATCATCAAGCATTGCTTGGCGCCACCCTGGATGGGAAAGTGCTTCACCTGTGGTCTTAGGAATAGAAATAGAAGAAAGACTAGAAACAAAGGTGAAATGAGGTGAAGAAAGACGGTCATAACTCAAAAAGGTATAAAGAGGATAAGGGTTACGAGTAGTACGTGTACCTTTTCTTTGAGCAATGGGAAGAGTCTCTGATGGAGGATCCGGAGGGGAAGAAGCAACAGCAGTGGGCGATGAGTCAGCAAGAGTCGAGTCGACAGGAGGCACAGTTTTGCGACGCTGATAGGTGAGAAGTGGACGGTCCTCAGGTATAGAAGCAATAGGTTGCTCATCTGGAATAGAAGCACCTGCAGCTGGCAAAGACAAGTCAAGAAAAGGGACAGGAAGTACATGATCAACCTGTGACATCTGAGATGGGATAGAATTAAAGGGTTGTTGATCAAGAAAAGTGACATCAGCGGAAACTAAGTAACGCTTAAGGTCGGGAGAATAACAACGATAACCCTTTTGAAGACGAGAATAACCAAGAAAGATACACTGAAAGGCTTTGGATGTTAACTTATCCTTACCAGGAGTGAGATCATGAACAAAACAAGTACAACCAAAGACATGTGGAGTTAGAGGATAAAGAGGAACATCTGGAAGCAATAGATTATGAGGAATGTCATTGTGGAGCACAGATGAAGGCATGCGATTGATGAGAAAACAAGAGATGAGTACAACATCTGCCCAGAAGTGAAGGGGAACCTGCATATGAATAAGAAGGGTACGGGCAGTTTCAATGAGATGTCTGTTTTTACGTTCAGCCACCCCATTTTGTTGTGGAGTGTAAGGACAAGTAGTTTGATGTAAAGTACCTTGTGTGGCCAAGAAATTAGAAAAATCAATAGAAACATATTCCTTAGCATTATCACTACGTAGAATACGAATAGAAACACCAAATTGAGTATGGATCTCAGTAGAAAACTTTTTATAAATGGAAAATAACTCGGAACGATTTTTCATTAAATAGGTCCAAGTGCAACGGGAAAAATCATCAATAAAGATAACGAAATACCGAAAACCTAAGACAGACAAGGTACGACTTGGACCCCAGATATCTGAATGAACAAGAGAGAAAGGGGCATCAGCTCGTTTATTGACTCGACTGGCAAAAGAGGAGCGTGTATGCTTCCCTTGTTGACATGACACACAATCTAAAGACTGAAGACCGGACAAAAGAGGAACCATTTTCTGCAACTTTGAAAGACTTGGATGACCAAGGCGACTGTGGATAAGTTGTGGAGATTCTGTGAGAGAGCATGCTACTGAAGGACGAGGCACATCCAGATAATAAAGCCCCCGTGACTCACGACCCACTCCAATCATTTTCCCCGTACCCGGATCCTGCACAGAAACAGAATGCTTAGAGAAAGTAATGGTGCAAGTGAGGGAGTGGATCAACTTACTAATAGAAATTAAGTTATAAGGGATGCCAGGAATGTAATAGACAGATGTCAGGGCCAAGGTAGAGGTCGGACGAGCTTGTAATCCCACGAACTGGGGCTTTGGTTCCATCCGCAAGGGTAAAAGACGGTAAATGATCAGAATAAGTAAGAGATGTAAAGAGTTCCTTATTACCACAGAGATGATCGGTAGCACCGGAGTCAAATATCCAAGTGCCAAGTGATGTATAATGAGAAACACAAGCAACGGGATTACCAGTATAAGGCTGAGACTGAGGAGAAGCCTTCCTGAGAGGGGTTTGGAGTGCAGCATAGTCCGAACCTGAACCAAATAATGCATTGTCTGACTGAGCTATATTTGCAACAATAGAAGAAGAGTTAACCTCCGAGAGATCAGGAGATGCTGCTGCCATTTAAAGATAAAATATAAAAGCCGTAAACGAAAGCAAACGATATCCAATCAAGAAGAACCACGCGTCTAAGGTCAGACCCACAGAGAAACAATCACAGATCCAGAAAGGGGAGGAGAAGGCGAGCTTCTCTGTCCAAGACCGGCCGGAAAAAGCCGCCGGAATAGTGCTCACGCGCCGGCAGAAGGTGGCGCGTGAAGCCCACGCGCAGAGAAGACAGGTGGCGCGTGACGGCGCGTGGGAGATGCGTTGCTGACCGGACCACCACAGACCTGGTCGCCGGGAAGAGAAGGTCCTGATCGCGTGAAGTTTGGTCGGAAAAGTCGCCGGAAAAAGTCTCCGGTTGCCTGAACAATGATTCTGACGACGGGCGGTGGTTCCGGTGGCCGTCGGAGGTGCTGACGCGTTTGAAAAAATCACTCAGAGGCTGTTTACAACCCTAGAAGGCTTGCCGGAAGGACGCACGGCAAGAAAGAGGACTCCTAAGCAGTGGGCTTAGGTTTTAAAGCAAAAAACAAGGTTTCTAAGCGGAAGCGAGGGTTCCCAGAACGAAAGAGCTCTGGTACCAACTTAAATATAAAATAATATGTTGTGTATTGATCTGTGTCAGAGAGTTACAATATATAGAGACCCTAATGGGCTTAAGTGAAAGGCCCAAACCTAATCCTAATACAGTCAGAATACAGTCATAATATTTACGGATAAGACGGAATCCAATCATATCTAATCATATCTAATCATATCATATCTAATATTCTAACAATAATGAAGTAAAAAGCTAAAAGCTCCTAGGAGGAGTTTTTTTTTAAAACTTTTATCAACTTTTCTTGAAATGAGGTTTGAGCTTTTAAGCTAAATTTTTTATGTAATCACCAAACAACTTTTATCTTTTTTTTAAGCTCTTCTTTTAGCTTTAGCTTAAAAATAGCTTTTAGCTTAAAAAAAAGATCCAAATAGGCTCTCTTATTCTTATCTCAAAACGTCTCTTTTTCAGTTCAATCAAATGGAAGTTAACCTCCCAACACTTAAAGCCATACTTCAAGTGGGTTAAGTGATTAATAAACTATTTTAGGGGGGATCTAATTGATAAAAGATAAACTTCTTCTTTGAAGTGGTGAGGTCAAATGGTGTGCATGTGCCTGATGTTCCTTTGAATTAACTTAAAGTTACATTTTCACTTAAAATCAACTATGAAGAGGGTTAAGTGATAAAAATAAAACTTTCTTTTTTTGGGGGTGGGGGGAAGTTGAGAAAGGGCTATACTTCATGAATGTAAAATGTATTTTCCCTAAAAATTATAAGTTCTGTATTTGCAATCGTTGTCGACAATGTTCACCAATGTTTCTTGATATACTTGTTTAATACTTATGTTTCTTTGGTTTAACATAAAAAGTTACATTTTCACTTAAAATAAACTATCAAGGGGGTTTAGTGATAAAATTTTTTTTTTTTAATTTTTATTATTTTATTTTTTTGGGGGAGGGGGGATTGAGAAAGGAATATATCTCATATAAGTTCTCTATTAGTTGTAGACAGCGTTCACCAATGTTTCTTGATATACTTTTTTTAATACTTTCTTAAAGCAATTCTCGTTATTTTGGATTTGCTAAGATCCCACATTTGCTAGATTCAAAGCACCCCTTATAATGTCTTGAGCAATCCTCCCCGCTCTTAGCTAGCTTTTGGGTTGAATTAGGCTCTGTCAGTTCTTAATTCTAACAATTTCTAAGTTGGATAACTTGAAAAAGTTCTTAATTGGCTGGATTCCATCTTACAGGTGTTGTATGACTATGAAGACAAAATAAACCAGGCTGTTTTTCCTGGACTTCAAGGTGGTCCTCACAATCACACTATTGCTGGCTTAGCAGTAGCACTGAAGCAGGTTCTTTAATTCACTAGCCAAAGATACAATTCGTTATAGTTTTCGTAGCAAATATGTATTTTTCTATAAAAGCATAATCATCTTTCTTGTGCCTCTTTTGTTGCCGGGCTGATGTAAGTTCAGTTCTTTCTTCATTTCTGTGAATGTAGGCTATGACACCAGAATTCAAGAATTACCAAAAGCAAGTTCTTAGTAACTGCTCGACATTTGCACAGGTAAAATAAATGCCTTTGTATGATGTGCACCAGTGTATTGCAAACTAGTTATTAGGTGTCTCTTCTACTAATGGTTTAGCCTAAATTTTTTGACTGTTAGTGCTGACTCTGCTGTGTTGATTGAACTCCAGAGTTTGTTAGAGAAAGGCTATGAACTTGTATCTGGTGGAACTGAGAACCATTTGGTGTTAGTGAACTTAAGAAACAAGGTAAATGGTGTGATCCTTTCCTCTGAAAATTTCTTGGTCATATTCTTTTCTCAAAAAGAATTCCAGATGGTGCCAAATTGTTTGTACATGTTAATAAACCTGTTCAGAACAACCTTTCTATGCTTTCTGTAAACTTACTTTGAGTACTGAAAATGGAAATCAGCTACTAGTATGGGCAAAATTGACTTCAAAAGATGCCTATTGTGTAAAGCCCACTTGAAGATTTAGGAGGGAACAGAAAATAGTATGACATATTCATACCAATTGTTTGTTCATGCAAGGGAAATTTTATTGAGAGAGTAGAATCACAGGAGGATAAGATTTTCTCTTTAAACAAGAAATAGAAATCTTATAGACATCGATAGACTTAATATGATAGTTATGCTATCTTATTTCTTAGTAATTTGTTAGAAATTGGCATCTAACATTATGGTTATTCTACCAACCCAAACTACTAGAAACGTGTCAAGAATTTAAAAAGCTTTTTCTTCTTGAACCTTCAAACAAATCAAAAACTTCCCAAATCTTTGTAAAATGACAAAGTTATTTTATGGGGTGTTTCCAATGTTGAGATAGGTACTTAAAGTATTTATTTGGTAACCCTAGATTGTAAAATATTTTAACATTTTAATTGGGTTTGATTGATGTGTAATATTTATGTTTGATACCGCCATGGGGAAAGCTCTTTATAATGCTGTGCTTTTTGACAGGGCATTGATGGCTCAAGGGTTGAGAAGGTGTTAGAATCAGTTCATATGGCTGCCAATAAAAATACCGTTCCAGGGGATGTGTCTGCTATGGTTCCCGGAGGCATTCGAATGGGTATGGTTTCTGTCAGTCATCTTTTTTCCTGCTTATTGGTGAATCTATAATTACACGTAGATAAAGATTATCTTGCCGTGATTCAGGAACCCCTGCTCTCACATCCAGGGGGTTTGTTGAGGAAGATTTTAAAAAAGTAGCTGAATATTTTGATGCGGCAGTCAAGTTAGCCTTACAAATTAAGGAAAATACCAAAGGTTGACCCCACCTTACCTTCCTGCATCTTAGTGCTCTGTCATGATATTTGCAGTTTTTAAAGCATAGCAAGATATCTTTGATGTCACTTATGCTAGTTCACTCTTGTTATTGGTTACATTAAGTTCAGGTACAAAGTTGAAGGATTTTGTGGCTGCTATGCAATCTGATGCACACGTTCAATCTGAGATTGCGAATCTTCGTCATAAAGTAGAGGATTATGCTAAGCAGTTTCCCACAATTGGTTTTGAGATAGAGACAATGAAGTATAGCAAGTGAAGATGACATATGAAACTGTTGGAGTTTTATCAGGAAGTTTTTGGGATTAATGACACAGATCTTGATGTGATGCCGAACGGTGTTGTACTTGAGTCTTGGATGTAATTGTGAATTATATTGTCAGTTAAAGAGAAAAGGGAGAAATTTCTTTTCAATAATGATGAACCGTTTATGGGGTTGAGCATTTTCTTTCAACATAGAGAAAAGACATTATTGATTTGAAGTTAAAAATTCCTTTTAATTGTCAGTGTTGTGGTGTAGCAAAAATGAGGTTGATCATTTGTGAATTCTGCTATTTGCTTAATTTGTATTAACTTTTGCATTAAATAAACTCAACCTCCCCCTCTAATTACAAATCCCCTTCTTTTTGCTATTACCTGAATAAAGCATTGGCAATTTCTTTCTTATTTGTCAACAGCATTAAAAAAATCTCTTCAATGTTGCTTTCCTTTCTACAATAGTGGGCTTATTTCCGGCATTAGCACACAATTAAATGGTTAGAGCTTCATGTCACTCTGCGTAAGCGGGGTACTATAACCTTACAACCAATGAGTACGCTTGGCATCGAAAATTGGAAAATGGGGTTGCATGTGACGTAGTTGTTGGTACCATCGACGCACAGCACATGCATGCCATTTTTAGATGCGTCGTTGCTGGATGCCTTTATTAGTCCTGAAAACCATTGGTTGTTTTTCTGCAATAAACGAAGGATTGTGAAACAGAATTAAAAATTATGAGCGGTCGAGAAAGATGGGACTATTGGTATTGGAGTAATGGAGTCTTGTGACTTGCAAGAAACAAAGTATGGGCACGTAGCAAGTCTAACTGCTTAGTTAACTTATTCTCTTGAAGTGTTTTTATCATCATTACACTCAATTTGATTTTAAGTGTATGTTACCGTTAAACTTAGAACAAACTCCAAGTCCAAGAGGATTAATTGATAAATATACAAACATTAGGGGTAAAATGATAAAAAAAATTATTTTTGTAATGATAAGACCATGTGGCATGTGTATGTTTGGCTTTCACTTTCAAATCAAATATGAATGAGGTTAAGTGATAAAAAGACAACTTTAATTAGTAAGTTGAAAAAAATTATACTTTAAGGAATTTACTCTCTTTTTTGTTTGGTAAACAGAATTTACTGTATTTTTTTGTCACACAAATATGGTAATAGGTATATTTATAAATATATTAATTAAAAAAAACTATAAACAAGTAAATTACTTTTTATTAATTAAAACACATAGATTCAAATTATAAAAATATATGATTGTGTTATTTATTTGTTTAATTGCTAATTACATTATATAATTATTTAGTCCTTATTTCAGAATTTCATTATAGCATGATCCTCTTTTTTAATTCCTTTCCCCCTCTTTCTTATTTTGTCTTTTATTTTTAAATTTTGAAAACACTTTAAAAATGATAATTTATAATATTGCATACTTTTAGCAATATGCATGCTTCTATTATATAAAACTTCGTGCATAAACGCACTATAACATTTTTCTGTTAAATTTTTTTAGTACATTTTTCTGTTAATTTTTTTTTTTGGTGGATTTTCTGTTAAAATTTTGTATGTACTTATAGATGGTAAAACTAAAATTTGATTATCATAATAATTATTTGAGAAATTTTTTTAATGATATCAAATAAATTATTAAGTTATACTCAGCATGAAAACATTTAATAATAAAATATATTTTTTATTTGGTTAATAAGCAATAGTAATATTTTTTTACCAACTTAATCTACCTATTATGTAGACTAAGTGTAGAGAATAATATTTCTAAAATTGAGTTATGAAAATTCGTTTGAACCCCTGACTCAAGCAAATCATTGGGAGCTCAGTTGCCAACTGAGCTACCCTTGGAGTTTAATTCGTTTTGTTTTTAACATTAAGATAATTCGTTTTACTTTCATGCAATCTGTTATGTCATTAGAAAATTTAACCTATTGTAGGAATTATTATTTTTTAATGATATAGTAAATGACAACTGAATATGCACAAAAAGAAAAATTGACTTATGAATAGTAATGTTAAAAAGCATTACACAGTTAAACTTATTTTACATAATGAAACTCAGATTATCATACCAGATACCATAATTAGTTGATTCAAAATACTCTACCAATATTGATTTTTATTTATGATTAAAATAAAAAATTAGTTCCTATGATTTTACTTAATTTGATTATGATTCTTATTGGTTATAGTTTATTTTTAAATTATAATTTATCTAGTTTTATTTATATAGATTTTAATCCGTCAAATACTAATATTTTAATATTAAAAATGAAAAAAAAAATGTTTATCATTTTAAATAACACAATTTTGCATTATTTTAGATGAAACAACATCATTTTGGTATATATTTGTTAATATTTCACGTTTTCTCACCTCCATAAAATTAGGAAGAGAGAAAAAGTGGATGAGAGAGAATATAAAAAATCACCAATATGCACTAAAATGATGTTGTTTCATCTAAAATGATATAAAATTGTGTTGTTTAAAATGATAAATATTTTTTTCTTTAAAAATTACATTCAAAAGTGGCAAAATGGGTAACTTGTCCCACTTCGCCACCAACACGCCTTAAAATAACTCGTCATGCCCCACTCCACCCCACCCCACTTTTGAAAGTGGGTTAAAAATTTCAACCCCCATGCCAATCCACCAATATATTAAAAAATGATTTTTTTTTTAAATTATACTTCCCATAAATATAAAAAGTATCAAATGAAAATAAAAGAGGTATAAAAAATATCATTAATTAATGTCTTTTAAAAAAAAAATTAACCTAGTGGATTGAACTCCTTTTGACCCACCTTTAAACAAAACAGATTTAAGCGAGTTGGCGGTTTGAAAATTTCAACCTAACCCCGCCATAAATAGTGAGTTCTCACTATCTTATAAGGATTAGATTTTAAAAAGTAAAAAACAATATCTTATAAAAAAATCTATAAAACTTAAACTTAAATAAATAAATAAATAAAATATTATTTCTCATATTATATGAGACAATTTATCTCATTCAACACAAAAAAAAAAAAAATGGATGGACCTACTTATTTATTTTCTTTCTCTCTTCTTAGTAAATCTCACTTACTTTTTTTTTGTATTGTATAAAATAATTTATCTGAAACATAAGAAACAATATTCTCTAAATAAAAAACATAAAAATCAATACTTTAACAGGAGAAAACCAAATACAAATAAAAAAGGGAAAAAAAACTCATAAAAAAAAAGTAATTATACGAACTAAAACTCAAAGCGGATTCAACTAGAAGTAATAGTTTAGTTTAACTTCATTTATTCCACATATGACCAATACTCAGCGATTGGTTGACATTGGATAACCGTTCCCTTCCTTTCACAATTTTTCTATCCAAGCAACAAGAAGATATTTTCCAAGCAAAGCAACCCAATGAATCATGCTACCAGTAGTAAAGTCCTTCCTTCATAGAATCATAGTCATAGGCTGAGTCTGCCATGGCTTCTTTCCCTTCCATTGCTGTCACTGCAACTCTTAAGCTCCACCCACAATTCAGAAAATACCCGCCAACCTCCTTTACCGTAGAGAAGGTACTCTCTCTTCCAGTTGTTGATTCAGAACATGTGTTTCATTTCTCAGAGCAACGAATGTACCATTTTGTTTGGGCTCGTGTCTTATATTAACTCCACTTTTATATTTTGGTCTTTTGTGTAGACATTTTTCTATTCATCACATAAAAATTAAACAACTACTTTAACTAGAATTATATTAATCTATTTCACTTAATTTCTTAATAACTGAAAAGTCATCGGTTCCTACGTTAAATAGTTTCTTTGCAATTATGCAAGGATAAAATGGATTTCTTTCACCCCATACTCGCTAGTCCGGTTTACCGTGGAGTGGTTTTTTATTTCACTTAATTCGATATTAACCCTGCAGTTTATATTATGCTTTCAGAGTCAAAGCATTTCTTTGCAGAAAGGCCATTTGGATCCCAGCGGGTATCTGAATTTTCGGGAAGAACTAAAAGAGGGGACAGAGGAGTTGGAGTCATCTTTCTACGTTCCCTTGTTGCAAGAATGCTTAGACAAGTGTTCCATTTCAGATACAAATATTGTTCACGGTCACGTCATGAAAACGGGTACCCATGAAGATGTTTTTGTCATGACATTTCTGGTCAATGTTTATGCCAAATGTAAGAGCATGGAGGATGCTCGCAGAGCCTTTGACAACATGCCCAGAAGAAACGTGGTCGCGTGGACCACGTTAATGGGGGGTTATGTGCATAACTCACAGCCAAAGCATGCAATCCATGTGTTTCAAGAGATGTTACATGCTGGAAGTTATCCTTCCATTTACACTCTTGCTATAGCTCTAAATGCTTGTACATCCCTGCAATCTTTTAAGTTAGGGGATCAGTTCCATGCTTACATAATCAAATACCATGTTGACTTTGACACTAGTGTTGGCAATGCACTTTGTGGTTTGTACTCCAAATGTGGCAGGTTGGAATTGGCTCTTAAAGCATTTAGGAGAATCAAAGAAAAGAATGTTATTTCGTGGACTTCTGCTATTTCCGCTTGTGGGGACAATGGTGAAGCTATGACTGGTTTAGGAATTTTTCTTGAGATGCTTTTTGAGTACATACAACCTAATGAGTTCACCTTTACTAGTGTCTTGGGTCAGTGTTGTGAAATTCAGTCTTTGGAACTTGGGACTCAGGTTCATTCGTTGTGTACTAAATTTGGCCATGAATCAAACCTACGTATCAGGAATTCTTTATTGTATTTGTATCTCAAATGTGGTTGTATTGGGGAGGCGCAAGTGTTGTTTAACAGAATGGATGATATGAGTTTGGTTTCGTGGAATGCTATGATTTCTGGACATGCACAAATGATGGAACTCACAAAGGATAATCTTTCTGCATGCCGAAGTGGATATGAAGCACTCAACATTTTTTCCGAATTGAATCGGTCAGGCATGAAACCTGATCTATTTACTTTCTCAAGTGTCTTAAGTGCCTGTAGTAGAATGGTGGCTTTAGAGCAGGGGGAACAAATTCATGCTCAGATCATCAAAACCGGGTTCTTGTCTGATGTTGTTGTGGGTACTTCACTGATTAATATGTACAATAAATGTGGAATCATTGAGAGGGCAACCAAAGCATTTCTAGAGATGTCAACTAGAACTATGATATCATGGACTTCCATGATTACAGGTTTTGCACTGCATGGCAAGTCACAGCAAGCATTGCATCTTTTTGAGGATATGAGACTGGTAGGAGTTAGACCAAACCAGATCACTTTTGTGGGTGTTTTATCAGCATGTAGCTGTGCTGGCATGGTTAGTGAAGCACTCAATTACTTTGAGATTATGCAAAAGGAATATAAAATTAAGCCTGTGATGGACCATTATGCTTGCTTGGTTGATATGTTTGTGAGGCTCGGTCGGTTGGAGGAAGCTTTGAATTTAATTAAGAAAATGCATTATGAGCCTAGTGAGTTTATTTGGTCAAACTTGATTGCTGGTTGTCGAAGTCATGGGAATCTGGAATTGGGGTATTATGCTGCTGAACAGTTATTAAGTCTTAAGCCAAAAGATAGTGAGACATATGTATTATTGTTGAATATGTACCACTCAGCTGGGCGATTTGAAGATGTTTCTAGGGTGAGGAAGATAATGAAAGAGGAGAAAATTGGAAAATTAAAGGATTGGAGCTGGATTAGTATCAAAGACAAAGTGTATTCATTTCAAACCAATGACAAGGCTTACCCACAGAGTTCACTATTATGTAAATCATTGGAGGATTTACTTGCTAAAGCAAAGAATCTTGGATATGAGATGCTAGAATGTATGGAAATAAGTGACGAAGAGGAGGAGGAAAAGACGTCCTCCCCTACCATTTATCATAGCGAGAAGCTGGCAATTACATTTGCTTTGGAGAACTTGCCAAATTCTTCCCCAATAAGAGTTGTCAAGAGCACCTTAATGTGCACGGATTGCCATAATTTTATTAAGTACGTCTCAACACTGACTGGTAGGGAAATCATCGTTAAAGATAGTAAGCGGCTTCATAAATTTGTCCATGGACAATGCTCCTGTGGGAATTTCGGTGGTTTTCTCTGATATTCTCGAAGCAGTAGCAGCTACATGAGTTAGTAATCAAAAAGCTGACCATCAAAAGCTAATACATTCTTTACACCTCTACAATTACTATTGACACATTATTGATTAGTTTTAAATTGTTATGGGAAGTTAGCTTTTAAATTGTGATTATAGCTTCCTAAAAATATAGAATAGCACGTATTGCTTGGACATGTTTACTCTTCTTAGACATGAATAGCGTGTATTACTAGGTTATGCATGAAAGCGTAAAACTAAAATAAATAATGCTGGGGCAGGATATGCGTACCAGACATTTAACATCTCAACAGTAAAATGATGAATAAATTGTATTTCGTGGTTTTTTCTGCTAATTTTGGTCATGCACCGGGAAAAAAAAAATCACATCAACTAACATAACTCGTGCACTGCAATATACTGTAGTGGTGACTGTTATGATGAGACAAAAAACCTGAAATAAGATTCGTACTATTCAATCAACACTTCACTCTTACTACAGGACCAGGATGCCTTGTAATGGTAGGACAAAAAAAACAGAGATTTTTTGAGATTTACAAACCAACCTTACAAAATTGTAGATATATAATTTTCGTGAATCTTTTCTCTTTAGAATGTAATTTGATCTTCTATAGGGATAGAAAAAGCCTGGATGGATTAGCCGAGCTGGCTTTTTAACCTTTACAAGCAGGGCTCAGGTGTTTCTATTCTATGTGAACACTTGTAAACCCCAATGTATCTTCCATAAGCAGATAGCTTTTGTTTTTTCTCCTTTTCTTTTCAATCAGAGCAGAAGATACCACAGGTGATGAAACTACTGTCTTTTGCTTTTAGTCTTGGAGATCCTTAATTTGCTTGTTTCATGAGGCGGTTTCCAGATGATATCCTCAAGATTGCTACAAAAATTCTTGTGGAACTGAAACATAGAGGAGCTACCTTTTTGTCATAAAATAAAATACAACTAAGGTCAAACAAACCGCAAAAGCATATCTCAAAACTGACCTCGAGATATTCACCTGCGTCTCCAGCTGCTTTCTGAATGTCCACCAAGAAAAATGTGGGAGCAACTTCAAAAACCTTTTCAAGCAAAGAAGGGAAAAAGAGATCAGGAAACAATTAAATTGTTACGCAAAATGTTTAGGGAATGTTGAAGTCTAGTAGAGAGATAGAAACTTACTTCCAGCATAACTGAGATATAAGAAGTTTTATTCGCTGAAATACCCTCTACTCTCATCTGAAAATTTAGACCAATATCACTTCAGATTAATAAAAGTAAGAAACTGTGGCAAGTTTAATCTTCAGAAGAATTAACAGATGGTAAGTATTTAGGTTGATTTTTAAGAATAGATAACAGAACAAATGATACAATATTATCCAGAACAATAGCGGTGGAAAGATGTGAGAGCGGCAAACTGGTAAAGCAATTTACTGTGACATATTAGAGGCCACAAACCTTATAGTTGCGAATATGCGTCTTAAACCCCATTGATTGTGCCACAACTTCCATACTCGATAAAACCACCTTTGCAGGCTTTTGAGTGATGAAGCGCTTTTGGTATTTTGTAGAGTCCTGTAAGAAAGGATATAAGAGAAACAAACATGACTCACACCTTAATAATGCAGAACATGGGAGGTGAAATGATGCATTTTTGTCATAGCATGCCACCTAACTTGGACAGGACTACAACTACAAGCTATACTTTTGCAAAGTTTCATTAAGATATTAAATGGGAAGTTATTTGACATCTTAAATATTTGCAGATATGATTATTGAGCCAGAAAATGGCAAGCAAACAACAATGTCATGATAAAATACCTGTCTACTATCAAAGAGTGTTGCAAGGTTTAAGCCTTCAGATAAAATTATCAAGTCGAATGCATTAAGAATTAGGGGACCCCTGCTCTCATTCTCACATTGTTGATTAGCCCTCTGATCCTTCAGTGACAAAATAACATGTCAACATAACAGAGAAGATAATTTCCATATGAATGCACCAGGAAAAAGTAAGCTTACTCCTGAATTGAAGAGAAGGGACCTAAGTTATAAAAGACAACAGTGACAGTTTTTGCAATCGCATCAGTTCCTTTCAATTAAAATTTGCTTCTTCATCATTGATCTTTTGATTTTTCAGCACACCATAAGTTTGAACGCATTAATTGTTTTCAGACATTGTACAACTCAAAATATCTTTTGCTAATATTGTTATTTTGTATCCTTGATGAACTACTCTAGAAAAATTTAAAGGCATCTAGGAGGACAGGGCATTGGCAATACATTAAGTTCATTCTAAAGATATGAAGCTGATTGGATACATTAGGAAAAGTTAAGCTGGATTAGCTTAAATACAAAAATTTCACACAAAATTCAACTGGACACAATGCAGAATTAAAAAATAAACAGACCTCGGCATTGTCAAATGCAGCATTTACATCATCCAGATTTACATCTTCATACTCAAGGAGACTGACGGGAACATAGCCTTTTTGAAACCACTCATCATTTCTAATCTGCTGAATGGTTATACGCTGAAATCAACATGCACACAGAGATGGGAATGGGAAAGAGACTTGTGAGAAACGAGTTTTACTATAAATGAAGTACACATTAAATACACTAGGACATTAATATAAATACATTATAGCGTTCATGTAAACTAAAACAAGCTCCACAACAAATAAATGCAAGAAATGCATGAACTGTAAGAATGAACACAACATGTTCGTTGATACTCATGGAACCAATATCTCTAAAGGATCGAGAAGTATTTGGTGAAATATAATTTTTAGTCAAGTTTGTCTTGATGAAATAGATAAATGAAAAAAGTCAGATCAATCCAAGAAAGCAAGATATTGCTGGCCTAACAATATTAAAATATTACGTAAAAGCATAAGAATATTAATTTCCTAATTCATCTTTTATATCATTATTTGCCAGCCAATATTATTAAGGGGGAAAACTGAGCAAGAACTTTTGTTTGGAACACAAACTTTCACCGGAGGTCATCCATTTTACATTTTAAAATAAGTCTAAATAAAGAAGTTAGCATTATATATCAACAATTTGAAGGACAACATTACATTAAACATCATTTCTAATGGTGAACGAAATTATAATATATATTCAATCCCAATGACCCATGCCACAACAGAAAAGCCACCAAGAATTAGATCTGAACAATCATTTTTTTTCTTCCATTTATCTTTAAAGGAGAAAAGTCATACAGCTCATAATCATGCTTGACAACTACATATCATCACAGTCATAGCCTTTCTAGATGCCTGGTAATAAAACATGAACAACTCAGAGACCCAACTTATTTTCTGTTTCTGTGCTCAGACAACATTAATTATAAATTGACAGTGAGAGGCTGTCTCAAAACTATTTTGACAGTTAGAAGAAAATCTTGTTCTGCAAAGCCAATTCTTACATGTTCAGGATTTGGGTCCAAAATTCTATGTATCAAAGATTTTGCTCCCACATGAAACCAAGGAGGGCATGAAAACTCTGCTTTCTCAATCTGCAAGGGAGTAAGAAAGGAAAATCAACAGCATTAATAATAATCTGAATTTTCATTTTGAACAAAGCATGTTGATAAGAAGAAACTATTAGACAAAGCAGTATTTCCGGAGCATTTCAAAAAAAAAAAAAACTTTTTCACATGAACTTGTAGGAACAGCCTGGCGCCTCTTAAATAATGCAAGAGACATTATTCCATTTCACTATATGCAAGATAAATATTTAAAACAAATATTTACAACTGGGGATCCCATCTACTCTACAGTAAAATACATATTTGACAAGTCTAAATTCATGCCTTCTTGTATAACGTGGTTAGATCAAGCTCATCAAAGGGAAGATAACCAGCCATTAGAACATAGAGGATAACCCCACAAGACCAAACATCTGCTAGAGCACCATTATAACCCTTGTGACTGAGTACCTGAGATCACAAAGATAAATGTCAAATGCAGAAGCCATGTAACGAATATTACGTAGCTGAAGTTGAAATAAATGCATATTCACAAAGCAGTAAGAAACACATGTATTACCTCAGGAGCCACATAATTAGGAGTTCCACAAGTTGTCCGAAGCATACTAACCCCCTATGAGAATTTTCACAAATTTAATAACATTCGACAAGTATGAAAACATTTTATTATATCATTTCATCCACATTAATTGAAGTCAAATTTAAGAATTATTTGTAAACAAACTCACCTGTTCAGGAAATGCACTCAAACCAAAATCTGAAATCTTTATATTTCCTTGTGAATCAAGTAAAAGATTTTCAGGCTGCAGAAGGACAAAGAAAACAGTTAAAAGAAATCATGATAAGAACAAAGACAGCATTCCAGATCCAAGCCAATGCAAACCTTTAAATCTCTATGATAAACTCCCTTACTGTGGCAATAATCTACACCATCAATAAGCTGTTGGAAATATCTTCTAGATTCAGCTTCACTAAGACGCCCATGGTGTACCTGCACCATTATTTTTATTTTCATTGTCAACATCTTCAGTAACAGGAAAAGTATTGATAAAAAATCAAGATAAAAGCTAAAAAAATAAAAATAAAATCAATAGATCCATCTTGAGCACTACTCACAATTTTATCAAACAGTTCACCACCTGTAATGAACTCCAATATGATATAAATCTTGGTACGGCTTGCTAGAACCTGAAGAAAATCATATTTCAAAACAGAATAAAGCACTTGTGTATGGGGACAGCCAGCAAGAGAGAAGTGTTATAATGACTTATTGGAGAAAATATTTAGTCAGTGTGGCTCTTCTTCTAAAACATTTTCAAGGAAAATAATATGAATAAGAGAAAAGGAAATTTTCAAACCAAGACAGATTCTGCAAAGATATTTCAAATATTTGTCCTCTCTCCAAGCATTTATAGAACGGAAAATTCTATAACTCTAGTTTACTTTATTAACCTGAAAGGACTTATAAAACTTACTTGATACCATATTTCATTGATATTCAGTCATCATGAATTGGAGAACAAGTAATTTATTTCAGAACATAAGTCAAAATGGCCCTTAATGAGCTTTAAGAATGTAGAAAGAAACAAGGTCATGCCTCATATAGACGAACAACATATGGATGTCTGACTAGCTTCATTATAGAAATCTCCCTCTTGATCTGCATTATATTTAAAAATAAAAATAAAAATAAAATACAAATTTTAAAAAAAAAAGTCATAACAGTCACATATATATTCATCAAACCTCTTGTATCTCAAATTGGAAGAAATCCAAGCCTAAGCGCCTTAGAGTCACTCTGACTCAGTGGGATGCCAATCCAATCAAAGTATTACCATCACTCAGCAGTCAGCATGATTAATACTCATAATTCATCTTTAAAATATTAATAACCACACCGGAACTCCCACATATAACTGATCACTGCCATATGCACGATGCATAGTCACAGTGATTTATTATATAATAACTAGAAAGTGAAGCACTGAAGACACTAAAGCTTTGTGTTTTGCGAAGGTTATTGTCTACGTTGTAAAGAACCAATTCAACGCAAAAGTTTAAGCTGTTGGGTGAAGCTATCTTAATAGTTTTATACTTCTCTAACTCGCCTCCACACAAGAGCCCACTGGCCTAAAGAGTGGTTAATGCAGAGTCTCATCTACCTGTGCTAAATACTTATCTAACCTTAATGGTTTTGTTCTGATCTGATTTAGAGCAAAAATGAATTAATTGGTACTAAGTTACATTTATGTAGACGTATTTTTAGTGTGCTAAACTGATGTAACTGATCTGTTGAGTTGTTATGACAGTTCGAGACTGTTGTAACAACCTAACAGACAACTCTAAGACATAAGCAGTTCTAACTAACAGACTCAGTTATAGTGCTTTGAACTAACAGAGAGAGACAATTATAGTATGTGTTTATACTCTAATAAATGAAATGAATCATGATGAGCATGAGAAAAAAATAGGGAGAAAAGAGAGGGTACCTGGTCGACCATTTTGTGCTTGATGATGGTGCTACGATCGAGCACCTTCATTGCGACACTCTCACCAGTTTCAGTGTTCTGAGCGAACTTGACCTTAGCAAAGGTTCCTTCCCCGACGGTTCTCCCAATCTCATACTTGCCTACTTTCCTCAACACCATGCTTCTTCTCTCTTTGTTTTTCTTTCTTTTCCCAACCAGGAACTTCACCACAAAACCATGTCACAAATCAAACTTTACCAACAAGCTTCTCACTTTTTTCTGCATTTAATTAATTAATTAATTTATTTATTTATCTTCGTTGCTGTTTGTGCGGAATGGAATGATAATATAAAAGGAAGGGCAGCAGAGAAGGGAAGTTGATTGGCAGGTCTGAAAATATAATTTTCCATTTATGAAAATTGAAGCCACGTGGAAGGGCGGGGACATTGTTTGAAATTTGGAATTTCAAATATTTTGTAGGTGATCCATTTATTTTGTTTGGACTTTGGATACAAGCCGAAGAGGTTACTCATAATTCGAAAATTTGAATGAAATTTGGGATAATTTGTTAGTTGTCCAATATATATTATCCATACTTAAATAATAACATATAAATTTATTTATATCAGGATTAAGGAACCTGCTAAATAAATAAATAAAACTATAGTCGGTTAAACTCATGTATTTAATTTAGGAGAGCGTAACAAATAATAGACTAGAAATATATAATTAAAATTGGCAGAATTAGGTTGCTGGACTGGTAGAATTTGACATATGGAAGTGTATTTAATAGGTGTTCAGACATTCCACTCACGCGTTTTCAAAGCACCACCTAATTTTAAGGCTTTCTGAAATCCTTGACATACTTCTCCTTATTTAATAAGGGATCAGTGTTTTTAATATTGCAGAAAATATTATTTTTTATACACATAAAAAAATATATAGAAATTATATAGATTCACGTAAAAAGAGTAAGAAAAAAAAATGTATACATATATAAATATTTTTATATATATGGAGGAAATAAAATTATCTTCTATAATATTAGAAATATTAATCTCTTTTCAAAACATATATTCAGATATTTAAATAAAACCTAATATTTATAGAGATATGTTATTCTACTTATTTTTTTCTTACTTATTTTACCTATTTATTTTGAACATGGGTTAGAATCATTTTACAACAGTGTAAGTTACACTCTCAATCTTGTCCGTTGATCTCACTTATATCTAAGTGCTCTAATTTTTTAGTAATGTGAACATTGGATATAGTGGCGGACCTATTTGGTTTTCTACGTGTGCAAGTGCACACATAAATTTGGTCATACATTTTTTTTAATAAAGAATAGATATATTTTTTAATTAATTATGAGTGTCACTCAAGGAGCAATTTTAGTAGCTGTATTATCAGGAATAAAGCGCAGATATTAAGAAAGAAACACATCTTATTTACTGCTTATGTTTTAATAGTTTTATATCATTAAGTTGATTACTATTTTTTTATGTTAAGTTCAAGTTTTTTTTTTAGTATTATATCCCTCATATTATATGAATGAAATTTTTTTTCAAGTTATATAATATTAAAGAAAGTGAGATGACACGTTATTCAATGAATTGGTCTTGTCTTTTTCTTAACATGACAACAAATTTGGTTCATGTAACATAAGGAATATAATTTTTTTTATATTCTTTTATTTTTTAATGCATTTAAAACTTTGTTCAAAAAAAATTTCACGAAGCACTGCCCCCACATCCCATCCACTAAATATTCGGACTAAATATGCAAACATAAATAAAAATTTTTGGGTCCGCTACTAATTGGATACAAGTGGATCAATGGTCAAGATTGAGTGTAAAACTTTTAACTCTTACACTGGTGTAAGAATATCCTGCCCCTTTCAACATTATTGAATTAGAATCTCGAGAGGAGAGAGAAAAATGAGATTCTGATTCAATAGTATTGAAGATAAATAAGTAAAGTAGTCAAGATAAAAAATAGGTAAAATATCTTATCGCATGTTTATATTTATATTTGATGGTATATATAATTCATCGAAGGTAGGAAGAATTTTATATTGATAATATTAATATATTAGTTATGTCACTTTACCTTGTCTAGGTGCACATTCTAAGTCATTTAGGACGTGCATGACAACCTTTCTCGAAATAATTTTTTTTTAATTTATGTTCTCGGGAACAGAAATGGATAGAAAACTCGTTTGGTAAAACTGATATACTTTTTTGTTGATGAACCGGTTTAATTTTTGTTCTGGGAAATAAAAAAATTCTGCTTTTTTGTTCGTGGGCACAAAAGAAGAAACACTTGTCTCTCTCAATCACTCTCCACCATTACCATCACCAACATTGCCGCCTCCATCACCACCACTACCATCACCACGCCACTATCATTGCCACCACGACTGCACCATCATCGCCACCACTACGATCACCACGACGCCACCACCACTGTCATCAATCACCACTACCACCGTCACCAACCACCACCAGTATCGCCGTAATCACTGCTGTCATCATCACCATCATGCCATCACCACCACCATATCACTACTACCACCATCGTCACCGCTGCCACCACCACTATTATCACCACCACTACCATCACCACGCCACCATCACCACCACCACTATTACAATCACCACGCCACCGCCACCACCATCATCGCAGCCACTACCGTCACCATCACCACCACCACCATCGCCACTATTAATGTCGTCACTACCACCACTACCACTACTATCACCACGCCACTGCCACCTCCATCATCGCCACCATTACTACCACTGCCGCCACCACTACCGCCACCACACCATATGAAAAGGAAAGTGACGATCTTAAATTTTTTTGTGATTAATAGGAATTATTTTTTATTATATTATTTTTTGTGTTATCAAATACAATTCTTATTTTCGGAATAAAAATAGAACTTATTAAAAAAAAACTATTCCAAGGCACATAAATAAAAAAGAATTATTTCTTTTCAGAAACAGTGCCAGAAAATATAATAGTTGTCATGCACACCCTTATTCCGCATAGAAAATTTTTAAGGGAAAAGTATAGATAAAGTTATCTCCAGTGAGCACAAAACGACGTCGTTTTGAGGTTACAAGATTAACAAATTATAATGATAAATACTAATATAACTCTGCAATAAATCATAATTACAAAAATACCTTAATTTTTGTCACAAAACGACGTCATTTTATGCTCACTTGAGATAACTTATCTCCATTGACTGGAGAAATACTTTACGCAAAATTTAAATAGCTTTTCCTATAAAAAAATAAGGGAAAAACTATTCTCATGTTGCATGAGATAAGTTTTTTCTCCTACATACTCTTCGATAACTGTGCCTTATTTTTATTTTTATTTTTTTTAAATTTTTTCAAGTGGTGGAACCCACAAGTTTATCCCTATGAAATGAAATAACTTATCTCTTTTAACATAAAATTAATAAAACTCGAAAAACAATTCCTGGGCTTGGGTGCGAGCGAGAGGGCTGTCTCTCTGTTTTGTTTTCTTTCTTTTTATTCCCCTTGCTTTGCCCTCATTTTTTGTGTTTTTTTTTATAAGGAAGAGTAATTACCCTGTCACCTTTGACGGCAATTCTTTCTTTCTATTTTTACTCTAATTTCTCTAATAAAGTTATTTGAATTTAAAAATTAGATACATTTTAGACTAATTTGAAAGTTTTTTTTTAAGTAGATGACTAGTTTGAAGATTTTGGTTCTAAATGTTTTATATCGGTCATTATAATAAATTTAATTTTTGTTTTCTTAAAAATATTATCATGTTTAAGCCTTACAAATCACTAAAACTCCTAAAATTTGCGTTATCATCAATAACTTTCGAATAAGGAAAAATGTTATAAATAATAAGTTAACCTCAAATAAATTATATTTTTTCCTTTTTATTTATTTTTTTGCTATATTATAAGTATTTCTTAGCTATTATTTTGAAGGAGATTTTATTTAATATTTTTTTTGTATTTAGATTTAATTTATTTTGTTATTATGTATATTATGTATTTTATTTATCTTTGAAAAAATAATTCAAATACTCACCGGGTATATTTTTTAACTAATCATTGACAAAATTACAAAAGTAGCATATAAATGGGTTTGGTGTTTGTCATTTTAAATGATATAAGTTATGTCATTTTAGGAGAGAGACAGACACAGAAAAATGAAAATCATGAGAGAGAGAAAATGAGTGATTTTTTAATTTAAAATTTAAATAAAATTTGTTTTTCTGTGTCTGTCTCTCTCTCTTAAAAGGACAGAGTTTTATGTCATTTAAAATGACAAATAATTTTCCCTATATAAAACTAATATAATACCACCTAAACTCATCATTTTTTATTGTAATCCTGAAAACATCTTTCTATAAAATTTCGAATGCTAAATACGAAAATATTTAAGTCCATAAATTTCCAAACCTCTTAAAATTAAGGTTTTGAGAGACTAAATATTCTGAAGGAAAAAAAAATCGAAGATTTGACGAGTTATATTTTTTAAAATAATTTAAATACGTTTCTTTGCCTAAAAAATCTTTACAATATTTTAAACTCATGCTGTCATGCAAGTATACATAGTATAGTACTTTGCATTGAAATTAATTTTAATTATAAAAAGCAAGGATAAAAATAATTAATTTTTTAACCATTAACCAAAACAGATTTGGTGTGTATTCAGATAAAGCTTTTATCTATCACTTAAAATTACATTAAATCAGTTATGAATTTGAGTTGAATTCAAACCTTTTAAAATTAATTTTTTTTTTTTTTTATAACAAAAATTAAAATATTTGAAAATGAGGCCATATCAAGTGAGGAAATTTAAAGGGAAACAAAAAAAGTTGACATGAACCCAATTTTATTTTAGGGTTGGAATTGTACAATACAGTACGAAATAACGTAAAAACACATTCATTAATCAAATTTGTTTATTTTAAGGCTCTTGAACCTATATATATGTCGTCTGCTAATACACGATCAATTAATGCTTGTAAGATGAAATGATTTTTTATTATCTTAGTTGAAGTAATGAGCCTCCCAATATTGGGAGGCTCCTTACTTCAACTAGTCCCCATTTTAATTTTTATTATTTGAAAAATAATGTTTCAGAGGGAATCATATTAAATATCTTAGCTTAGTTTCTATTTTCTTCAACTTAGAACCGGTCGGACAAGCGGATTCACACCTCTTACAACCAACACAGTCCTCTATTCTTGGGGCAAAATATTCCATTTCTTTTTTTTATGTTTTTGCAAAGTGAACTTCATAGATATCATTATGGGAGAAGTTGATCGTTGAAATGATAATTTATACATCAGAAATAGGACAATTAGACATCCAACCCGTAATCGCAACGACCCAAGTCAATCTTCAAAAATTTCATCGCAATAAAAATGGGAAATATTTATACCAAACTTGCCAATTGCAAAATATCTAGTTGTTTTCAACATTTGTGGATTTATTATACTATTTTTTTTCGCATTCTTTATTTCAACATAAGAGATAAAAAAATTGGAGTTTCAAAAACCCATATAAGCAAAAAATCTCAAATATCCTTGATCATGAGACATATAATTATCACTGTAAATAAGAACATCTGAACTGAATTCTTTCTAGATAAGGAATCTCTTTCTAGTTGCTCTGGAACAATTAGGAGATTCTCTAGAAGAATTTCATCTTCGTGCTTAGTCTAATTGTTGGTTCAATTTATGCATGGCGAAAGAGGGTGTTAGAGTGGTCTGCAGTTACTGCAAATAAGTTATTTGCAGTAAGTCCAATACGACGTCATTTTGGGACGGAAATCATGGTGTTTTTGTAATTTTAATTTATTTCAGGGTTATAATAATCTTTATATTTATAATTTTTTAAGATTTCAATACCAAAACGACGTCATTTTGGGAATAAATGCAGATAACTTATCTGCATTAACTGCAGAAATATTTTTTCCTTTATTTTATGGGAAAAATATTTGTTCTTTAAAATGATATATTTGTGTCATTTCACTCTCACAAAGAGGTAAGACCCATATATTTATTTATTTTTTTGTTCACTCTCTCTCGTGATCTATCCCTTTCTCTCGTTTAAAATGACATAATTTTACATCATTTAAAATGACACACACTTTTTTTTATTTTATATAATAATATATGGGTTTTATAATTCTCATTTAACATGAGAATTTGAATTTTCCTACACACCCTTCGATTTTCGTGCTAACGTGGGTCCTACACATAATTTTTTCTTACATACGAATCCCACATACTTTTTGTCTCTACAACATGAGAATTCAATTTTCATGTTGAATGAGAAATATAAAACCCATAATATATATCTAGATATAATGCCAAGTTTCAAGGTTTGTTTTCATCATGATATTTTTTCATAGGAAATGAAGCCCAAACAAAAAGTTTATAATTTCCAACTCATGATTTTGACCAGCTCGATGAAATGAAGCCCAAGGAAATGCGTAATAGCCAATAAAGAAAACTCGTGGGTCTGTTGAGAAAGAAAATAACAAATACAACAAACCCCATCATTTCCGGACAAGAATATACGAAGTTTCGATAGGCTAGTACATCTAAATATCTAAATCCAATTCAAGGCAAGAGTATCCGCGTAGCGTATGCAGTTTCAAGTTTCAACTCAAGACTTTTCATTTTTTCTAATATGATGGCTGCTACAGAATGAGAAAGAACATTCATAAAACTTAATAGTTGGATTAAAAAATAAAAATAAAAAGACCTTCATAGCTAGGTTGATCCAAAGTTTTAAACAGTTAAACTGATCTCTTTGCCCTGCAAAGTTATGAAGGTGATGTTAAGGCAACATTAATGGAGACTCAGCAAACGTTAGAGTGGGGTGAAGCCCAGAATATCGTCTTAAGCCAAGACCTCGTAGACACAGCAAAACAACAGCTTCTGTTCCTGGCAGAGGTTGATAGGAATCGATGCCTATATGATGGCCCAGTTTTACTCAGAGCTAATTACAGGTACATACTTAATTTTTACCTAATTTTCCATTGGCATGTAACTCAAATCCTAGAATATGTGTAGTGTCTGCATATTTCCTCTGTTGTAACTTGTAATTTTAACGTTTTTTTTAAAAGGCTTGTTTTTTAGTTGTTGTGTTTATGGGTTCCTTTGTTGAACAATGCAGGTATAAATACTGTTGGCTTCCTTTACTAGCCAAGCATGCTGAGTCACCTGTGACAGAAGACCCTTTGGTTGTGCCTTTTGATTGTGAATGGATTTGGCACTGTCATAGGCTTAATCCGGTACTAATGAGCACTGAAACCAAAATCACATTCTTTCTATCTGTGAACTTGTTTTGTATAGATTTTGTTGCAATTACCCTTCAATCTGTGTGTACTTGTTTGTCAGGTGCGCTACAGGACTGATTGCATGGAACTATATGGGAGAATACTTGATGATTGGAATGTGTTATCTTCAATTCAGGGAACCAGTCAAGAGGAAACTAAAAAAATCTGGGAGACAATGTATCCAAGTGAGCCTTATGAACTTGATCTGAACAATGACTCATTGCAAGATTTTGATGAAAATTTCATGGGAGCCCCAGAAAGTACCACCAAGTATAATCTGAGTTCAGCTGTTAAAAGACAAACTACTTTCTTCTATCAGGTAATTAAGAAATTTTAGAATACCTTGTCTTTTTAAGACCTACCTACAAACTGTATCATAAACAAGTAATTGCCAATGTCAATGCTCTCAACTAGTTCATCATGTATTTTTATTGCTAAAAATATTACTGATTATCCGTAGTAGAGTAAATTTGTTTTGGGGGTAACACTTGAATCAAAGTAAGGGTGATTTGCATTCTTGACTACTCTATCAATAAAATGACTCAAAACCCTACTTGCTTATGCTTATTCATTTGTCTCCAAAATGGATGACTTAATCTTGTCCTATGTAGAATGGCAACATGAGGTAATGATGGATGCTGATGTAATGACAGGTTTCCAGGCCTCATTGGAGTGATGATACTTTTCTTGAAGGAGCTGTGGCCCGATACAAGGGGTTTCTGCATTTGATCAAGAGGAATAGAGAGAGGTCTATAAGCCGGTTCTGTGTTCCAACTTATGACATTGACCTCATCTGGCACTCTCACCAATTGCATCCTGCATCTTACTGTGAAGATCTAATGGCAATTATGGGCCAAGTATTAGAACATGATGACACCGATTCTGATCGGACCAAGGGCCAAAAGCTTGATGTTGGGTTTTCTGAAACCACCAAACAATGGGAAGAGACATTTGGTTCAAGATACTGGAAAGCAGGAGCAATGCACATGGGTCGTCCCCCTTCTCCTCTTAATGTTGATAAGTACAAAATAGATGCTATGCACAACAGTTCAGCTCCATCCAATAAAAACCAGAACCTGATGCAGATTCCACAGAAAATGCTTGTGGAGGTAGCCTTCAATATGTCTTCTGCAATTTTCTTTGTTACATGAGAAGACTCTAGCTGCTGTAATTTGTCACCTTTTTTTTGGGCATAAAAAGTTGTAACTTTTTTGGGTTCATGATTCTTATTCAGGTGATGCTTGAGATTGTTGATGTGAGAGGCTTACCATCCACGAATAAGGGCAAGCTAGTTGTATCTTTCAAGAAGAAACAGGAAGATACATTTTTCAATATCAAGAAACAAGTGAGCATTTCCTCACAGTCAGAAGGGAAACAAGTTGCTGTTTTCCAATGTGAAAGTAGTGGAGAGTTAGTCTTTGAACTCATTTTCCGTCCAAGTTTCAACTTTCGATTAGTAAGGCCAGCCAAAATATTGGGAAAAACTTCAATCAATCTGGAGGATTTGCAAAATGTAGCGTCTAAATTGCCAGTAGAAGACTGGTTAGATTTGACATCTGCAGTTAACTGGTCGAAGCCTATTAGTATTCGCATTGGTTTCTCTTTAACTCCTCCAGTTCCAGCACCATATGAGTTGCACATGGTTTCCACGCCTCCATTCATAGGAAGTTATTTTTCCTTCCTGCTTCCAAGAAAGTTCCAGCAAATAAAAAATTGGACTAATATTGTGGATGAGGCTGGCAATGTGATCATCAGCATCCAGACGCGGTAAGCCAAACTGACATGTGGAATTTTGAATGTCATTAGCTGAGTTGTTTAGCAGTTCATAAAGTTGAACTGCTAGTTCATGTTTACCCCTGAGAATGAGATTTTCTTACATCATACTGATAAGTTCTTATTGAGATATGACTACTAAGTTGAGGAGGAATTGAACTTCTAATTGCTCTTATGTTAGATTTATGCACTTTGATTTTTATTTTTTTTGCATAATAGGAACTTGACAACTGAGAAGACGAAGATTAATAATATCAATAAAGAAGTGATTGGCAGGACTGCATCCGGCGAAACTCACGTTCTTGCAGAGTTAAAGGGAACAATGTGGTCTATGTTGAACTCTGACTGGATGTTACAGATAAAGAAAACCAGTGATGAAGATAAACATGTATTTGAGCTCACAGGCGCTCGGAAGGTCATCTTCTTATTCTTGTCTTAGTTTAGATTCTTAAATCTAATACCATGCGCAGAGTTTATCATCTCAGTCACATTTCATATAAGACTTGTGCTAGGTATGCATTAATCTAAGGTTCAATATCATGCTCGTCATTACATAGGATTTATGCTCTTTCCCAGGTGATTATTTTTCCCGGTAGAAAATTGGAGTTTGAAACTCGATACTACGGAAATGAGGAAGGAAACTGCTTCATGACAGCAGTCGAATTCTCTCCAAAAGATCCCAATGGAAAAGCAGTGGCTTTGATGGATTTAGCATATGGATTTCTAGAGGTATTTTTTTCTTGTTGAACAAAAAGCGCCCCATCTAGATTTTTTATTCTCCATATAACACCCCTTTTGTCACTGTTTTAAAATTTGATGAACAGGTCAAGGAAGAGTGGCTACTATTGCCTGCGATATTATCTGCATTTGTTCTCTCTAATTTTCCTGATTTCAGTAATCAGGAGTGAGGAAGCAAATGGGAATAATTCATGCAAAGAAAATCAGAAAAGCTGCAGAAAAATACAGATGGAATCCTTGAAAATTTTAGGATCCTTTCCTCAACAAAAGCATACATATCCAATATAAAGTTTTTGGAAGTTTAGACCTATTTACGATAGGATGACTTTATAAACGAGGCTATCACTTTGGTGTATTCAGTTTTAGCTTGACATAAATTATTTATAATGTACCCTGTCCGTCTTTATAATTAGCTTATTTGAGAACAATTGACCTAGCTTATAATCCACCTAGCTTACCCACTTAATGATGTACACCAATTTCATAATCTCGTTGCTCAAGACAGCAGCAGCATCCTCATTGTTTAACAAGTGTATCGAAAAGGATTATTTAACAAACTGCAAATTCCATTTAGTTACACCCTTAAAACAATTCATGAATCCCTTCAAGTATGAATGCACCTATGCACAAATAAACAATGTCCATACCCATATACCAAAATAAAGCAAAAGAAAAACCAAAAACGACCAGCATTGTGCTACGAAAAGGAGAAATCAAAATCAAAAAGACTTATATCCAGGATCACGCACGCAGACAACAGAAAAATAAACCCTAGCAACAATCTCCCAGCACCCTTGCCTCTGCTCAATTCCAGCCTTCACCGCCGGGCGCCGCCGCAGCCTGTCGCCGCAAACCAGACCTTTCAGGTAAGTACGCAACCTGCGAATATCCACGCTCAGACATTCCCCCAACCTCTGAACCATTGTAAGCAATATTGTTAGCTGAATGCGAGTGCGAAAGCGAAACCGGTGTTTGAATGAGATACACCGGTTGACCCATTGGTCCAGTCACGGGCCGCACGGCTTGGTACATACCAGAAGGTGTTTGGATGAGATAAACCGGCTGCTGCTCGGAATAGCCACCTCCCTGGTTATGCCTTTCCTGCAAAAAGGATGCCTGGACCGATACCGGTCCAGGAACAGTAAGCGGACCGGAGTTGACTTGAGCATGAGCATGAGCATGAGCATGTGCATGTGCATGTGCCATTAACGGCGCCACATTCTCCGGATTTTTCTGAGGGTAACAGTCCACGCCGTAAACTCTGCTATTCTCTTCCTCGATTTTCCGTTGCAGAAGTTGCTCGTTGTTCCCATTCTGCAACCACTGTTGCTCTTGGATCTCCGGTTCTCTAACCGCTTGCGGATCCTCGGACCCGCACTCCGATCCCGCCGCAATTTCCGGAACAGTCGGAACAGTTTCCGCAAATTCCTGCGCTTTCGCCGCCGGAACCGCGGGATACGCGTTATCCAATCCAAACAGAAAATCAGGATTAGCCGGCTGCATTGGTGGCGGTGGAGAAGAACCTTCTAGAGGCGGAATATTCTGCACGGAGTTAAGAGCATCCACGAACCACTGCTGCTCCGGTTTCGATTCGGTGGGTTCGAGATCGATTTTCGGGGCAGAAGAAGCATTGTTAAGAGGGAAGAGGAACAACCTCAGTCTTGCTGGCTTAGGTGAGGCGCGGCACAGGCGATCGTACTCGTCCATCATGTGGTCGAGATCCTCCTCGTTGATGAGGGAGATCAAGTTGTCGAGCTCTTCGCCGGGGAGTTGGTACTTGAAGCAAACGTCGGCGTTGATGAGCGCAGAGAGCTTGGCCATGATTGCAGAGAATTTGATGTTGCGATCGACGGCGATGATCTTGGTGTCGCCGCCGACGTATGCGAGCTGGTTGTCGTGGGGCCTAGGTTGGATTTTTCCGCCATAGCTGCACACGAGCTTGACTTTGTAGGTGGTGTTGGAGGGAGGGGGTTCGTCGAAGGAGGTGTTCTCGTTTTCCACCTCGCGGGAACGAGGTGAGGAATCGAGGGAATCCGGGTGGGAAGAATGGGAGTAGTTCTCCATGAACGAGAATTTCGAAAATTGGAGAAAGGTTTTGGGAATTTGGGGAACTAGGGTTTCTAGGAAGGCATTGAAAATCAGAGGAAATTGAAGAGCGAGAGAGTAGTTGTTTGTGTGTCGAGAGAGAAAAACGGCGTGACGGCGAACAAGAGCAGAGTGTGGTTTTATGGGAGATGTTGACGGTGTGGGTGTGGGTGTGGGTGTGGGGTAGGGTGCTGAAAAAGTGTCAGATGCAGTGGTAATGTGAAAGCACCAGACAATCGCAATACCCCATATTTATTAACGCGCTATTGATTTTCAATTAATTTTATACCTTTTTTAATCAAATTTTTGATTATAAATTATTTTATCCATTGATTAAGATTATCTAAATATAGAGTAATTTATTCAAGATCTTTAGTGCTGTTGCAGTAAAAAAAGAAACAATTTCAAAATTTAGATATTGTTATGGATCGATATGAAGTATCCTTATTTTTGAAAGTTCAAAAAAGGCAATACAGAGAAAAAATTAATATAAATAAAGAAAAGCATCAAATTAAATATATTAATCCTAGGGAAAAGTGTCTATACATTTAAATTACACAACTTACATCCTTTCACTCTCACAAAGAGGTGAGACCCACAACTTTATTTTTTTTGTCAACTCTCTCTCCTCCTTTATCTATCTCTTTCTCTCTTAAAATGACACAACTTTACATCCTTCAAAATTATACACACTTTTCCCTTAATCCTAATATGATAACAACGAATTTGAACGTGAGTTTTCACGAGAGTTATCCAAGATTTAAAATTCTATTATTCACTCCCTGCACATATCACTACTCTTTCTCCATGATTGTTAAGTTATCATTGTACATACACATTATCTTTTTAACTAACACCATTATTATTAATGCACAATAAAATGTTAAACTCGAAGGCATGTGATCCATAGATATCTAAAAAAACTTTTACAAAAAAAAAAAAAAACTTGTAAATCCAATATTAATATATTAGTATCTTAACTAGACATATCTATCCTAAGACATAACAGATATTATTAGATGATAAAAATAATTTGATTCATAACAAATTATTCATATGTTACATAAAAATTAGATTCTTTACAAATTTGAATAAGGTATACATCTGGCGTCAGACCATGGACCATAATAAAATATTAGGAGCGAAGTTATAAAATCGTGACATGATTCAGTTTTAAAATTCATAGTAACATCTAAACAACTACAAGAACATGACATTTTTAAATTAGTTGAAAATTATATTGTGTTAATTTTAATATAAAATGACGAAGAAAAAATATTAATTTATTTATATTATATATTTACAAGTTTTGTACATTTTTTATACTTGGAGTTTGAATTTGAGTTAAGAGAGGGAAATACTCATTTATTATTAAATGGATGACAAAATCATAAGCCCAAAAGTGTTACTTCAAATACAATATGATAAGTATATAAAGTAAGTTATTTTGCGTAAAAGTTTTACTATTATATTTTGAGTGAAATTTGTATCTTTATACTCCAAGTTAAGTGTTTGTTTTCATATATTAAGATTTCAATCTTATGTCCTTAGTCAAGTTTCTTATTGATTTGAGCATTTGAGTCCGGAACAGTTGTGTGTGTGACTGGAACCAAATAAAAAATTAAGAAAGAATGAAACAAATAAAATAAATAACTTATCCATACTGCTATATTTTTTTTTATTTTTTAGAGAGGGAGAGACTTATTCCTTCTTAGCTTGCTGGTAGGAGTGTTCATCAACCGATCCAAACCGATTCAAACCGCAGAAACCGAACCAAAAAACCGAAAAACGAATAAACCGAAAACTGAAAAAAAACCGCAAATTTTAATTGGATTGGATTGGTTTTCGGATGGGTTGATGAAAACCGATCAAATCCAAACCGATCCAATATATTAATTCTCCTCTACTTACTTGGTCCTTTCCCCAACCATAACCCAAAAATTTCTAAATTCAAGTCCCATTAACTCATCAATTAAACCAAAAAAAAACTTAGTCACGTCTCATCAACTATAGTATTGTTTACTGATATTTTTGTATTTAAAAATAAAATAAAATTTACAAAGTCAATATATACAAAAGGTGTTATTTGCACAATAATCATGAAACTAATTTTAGGATATTCAAAAAACCGAAAATCAATACAATCCAAATCGAAAAAAATTGGATTGGATCGGATCGGATTTGAAAAAAATCTAGACCGAATGGATGATTAGACGATCAAACCGAAAGGATTGAATCAGATGAGTTTTACTTCCAAAACTGATCCAATTCAGACCGCGAACACCCCTACTTGCTGGCAAGGTAAACGCGACTTCAACGTCGTAACTCCTAAGCAAAAGACGAAAAAAAAATGGTGAGTGATAGTTTCTAATTTTTTATTCTGATTCAAATTCATTTTTCTCATAGATACAAAAATCGATCTTTGTTATCTTGAAATTTGATTTGATTGATTACCACAATTATCATAAGTTGCTCAAAATTTAAATTTAAATTTAAATTTATTATCTTTATAAAAAAACTTATATTAAAATCAAAATTAAACACTTCCTTTTTTGAGGAGAAAAATATCTTTATTCAGAATGAATGTAAGAAGCTACAGCCAAACAATTGAATTAAAGTATTACGGCATGTTTGGTGCATAGTATAGGATAAAATTTGATAGTATAAGATTTGATAGTATAAGATCTGATTGTATAAGACCTGATTGAATATTAATATTATCCAGCGTTTGGTAAGATATTGTATAAAATAATATATTATATAAGATAATATCATATATTATTTAGTAATGTACTGTATAATACTAAATAAGATAAAAATAAATTTTTCATAAAAATATCCTTTAATAAAGAATTTATATAATTCTTCCAAAATACCATATCATATTAATTTTTATAAAAATCTATTGATCATTGTGTCCAAAAAATAAATTAATTTTTATAAAAATAAAAATATCCAATTTTTAAAAATTAATATATTGAAAAAATAATTTTTATTTTAGTATATTAATATTAAAATAATATATTAATTCTTGAAAATTAGCATTTAACGATATTAATACACCAAACTCCTAAATATATTTCACAATGACTATTTGGACATTAATAATACTCGATTCACTTTAATCACCTGCCTTTTATATGAATCACATAGAGAATACGATAAATAAAGGAATAACTATTATTACATAATAAATGAAAAAAAATTTATATAATATCTAATAGACAACAATATCAAATTGTATATCACAAAATGAATTAACATATAGCTGGAATCTTTACATTATGTTATTACCTAAATATCAAAATGTCACGGTGATCCTGATAGATGAGAAAAATTTTAATGCACCGGAATTATTGAACTCGGTGTTTTTTTTTATTTTTCGTGAAAAATATTAATTGAAATAGAGAATTTCGTCAAACAACAAAAGATTGGGTCAATTATTCAATCAAATGATATTGCACATATTTTCTATATCTTCTTAAAAAATAGGCGAATTATTTCTTTGCAAAATTATGCTTAATTTCATATGTGTCAATTATGTCAATATCTCTTCATTAGTTGGGGGAAAATTCTCTATAAATCGGATTTTTTGACGAACATATTGAATTTGGTTAGGCCATTTGTCAATTTTTTTATTTTTTACCTAAAAGTTTTTATATATTTCTCTTTATATTTTTCTTTATTTCTCTTATTTTGTTTTTTTTAAAAAAAACTAAACAAACCATTGCAGTGTTTGCGCCGCTGATTTTACTGAAACCACGGCTATTTTGTTTTGTCGTATGCCTGTTACTGGTAATGAATAATAATGGCACGCATTTTGTTTGGATAATTAATTAATGCAGTTTATTTTTCTCATATTGCATAGGAAAATAAATTTTTTTGCTCATATCATAAAAATGTGTGACATTTTTGTTTTTGTTTTTTTCTTTAAATAGATAGATCCCACATTTATTGTATCTATAACATGAGATTAAATTTTTTCTATAATATAAGATTTATTTTTTCCGTAATTAATAGCACATATTAATGTACTAAATATAATATTGTAGTGGTCAAGGTTGAGTGACAAAATAATTTGTTTAATTTTGTAAGGAATTACAAAATGATTTAATTTTAATATAGTATTCGGTATAAAAATTTTATATACATTTAATATTTTTTCATATTAACAATATATTTATTAGCTTGTAAATTTTTTAAGATAATTAATTTTATGTCGATGTATTATTAAATATAAATGTAAAATTATTTAGCCTATGTCACAAAAGTAAGTAACAAGAGAGGGATTACTTAGATTACCAAAAAAAAAAGAGGGATTACTTAAACTGTAAATTATAGTTTATGAATCCCACCATTTCTTATTTATAAAGTGAGTAAGGGATTCGGAGATAACAAAAGAGAAACACTAAGTTCATATTTAGTATTTCTTTTAGAGAAATAATTTTTTTTACTAAAATATTATCAAAAAAGGTAAAAAGAAAATAATTTCATATAAATTAATTCAAGCACATATAATTCCAATAAACATATGATCAAGTTAAGAACAACACGTGGGGCAAAGATGGATCACATGCCATGATGCTAAGTTTCATGGCAAGAACAGTCGATAAATCATAAAATATTTGAAGTCAACTTAGTGAAAAATATTAATTTTAATCATTTCAATTTATTTAAATTATTTTAATTGGACCCTCCTTTGGAGTTTTTTTGAGTGTGATTACCGGCGTCTTTCACCGTTGTCAACAGGAATGTATTCGTAATAAAAACACAAGGAAAAAAAATGCAGTTCCCGAGGCATGTCTGTAACGCCTGGAATTGATTTCCGAGGCACAGAGTACAAAGTATAATTGTATTTATGCGTGGAACAAACATACACTGAACATTTTAATTAGTCAAGCACCAGGTTTTATGCCGGTACGTGCGTTCAACGGGTTTATAATAAATTGTCTTATAATTAAAATATTAATTTTATAATGATGTCATTTATTAAACATAAATACTTATGGATGCCAATAATATTTTTTTCAATGTACGATTAGAAACTATGTAATTATTAAACTATGTAATATTTTTTCACTTCCAAATTCCAATGGCTTTTCTGATTATTCTAAGTCATATTCTGAATATATATACATACATATATATATCAACTTCCTTCCTTC